TAGTAACACGTCTCCTCAGTGATGAAACCCTCATATCCAGACAGCAAGGGAGTGACTTTCTTGCTATCTGTATTTTCTACGAACGTCACATGATCGCCACTCACAACATACGAGAAGCATCCCTTTTTCGTTTCATAACTCGGGAAGTGTTTTATTATAGGGCTGCTTGATACTTGATACTGAAAATGCGACAACTTGTTAAATTATGCGATACGATAATACTATAAGTGTGTAAAATCAATTTAAATTATATTTATATATATTTAAAAACTGAAAATGACATACATGTTTCAAGTTCTTTTGAGGAAAAGAAAGCATTCTCTGTTAACTGCGTCGCCCTAAAACTAACTTTTCGTAACTTTTTGAAGTATTAAAATCACTCAGTTATCGCAAAGCCCTTGCGATATGCACATCGCGATATTTTGATAATTTCGAATATACTGTGCAGCCCTAATTTAGAATTACAGCATATAGGAACAATCAAACATACCCCCCCCAGCAACATCTGTGTAGGATCACGGACATGTGTGTCCAAACGGGACGAAAACTATCAGACGACTGCTGGGTTTGGCGAGAAGCTGTAGGCAATTTGGCCTGTAGCTTTCCTCAGAGGAGAACGGAGAAAAACACCGACATGGCCGCTACGGATGGAAATAAGATTTACAGAGAAGCGCCTGTGACATTTTCCCCAGGTAAATTTAATCCTGTCCAGATAGGGTTATACTAGAAACTCGTCCTGCGGTAATTTTACTGCTGTCCGGATGCGAGAGTTTAACAGTGAGGAGAAAAAGTTGTTACAAAAGGGCGCTGATAAACTGACCCGATCCGAATAGGGCTACTGATGCTGTTTAAGTCTACCCGGTGTGTTCTGGGACTGAAAAGTAGGCTTTAGGTGTGAGGATGTGGTGCAGATGTAGAGGTTAAACTTCTTGTCTTGGTCACGGCACCATTTTGTCAGGCGCATCAGTTGGTGTGAACAAAAGCGGCTGTGCTGAATGAACAGCATCTCTGAGGGAGGCGGAGAGCCGCTATTGTTCCATACAGAACAAAGATGAATGCCTTAACACTGCAGAGAAGGACCGAAACATCCAGCGTGGTCCACACTAACCCCAAAACTCTTCTCCTAACAGCCGTTTTTCCGCCGTGTGCGCGTCTCTAATAAACGCCGCTGTGCTGCGCGTGACGGCACGAGCGCCATCAATCAAGCTTCAAAACAAAACAAGGCGCGTGGAGCAGGCGGCAGGCGCGTGATTAGCTGGAGCGCTGTCACTGAATATCAACACTAAGCTGCACTAAATGCAAAAAAACTCTGCAATTCTTTAAAAATGCTTTATTTATTTACAAGCAGACAACGGCAAAGAAAACACGTCCAGCTAACTTTCTGACTAGGCGCCAATCTACATCAAAAAGCTAGCTTAGCTGCAATTTTTGCCCTACCCGTATTCCGACAAGCCCCGCCTCCGGAAGGAGGACTTTACTGCTGATATGTCGGTTCTTGGGCTCTGATTGGCTTGTACAGCCTACTCCGCAAATTTTCTGCCAATCGCAGAGCAAAAGGCGTGATTTGTCGGAAAGCAGGTGGGAGGAAAATAAGTGGGTAGCTATCGCTACTTACCCAGCCAACAACATGCAGTGTTATTGTCCAAGACAAAGTTAACACTAAGTTGCGGTTTGAATCAGGGTTACTCAAAAGACATTATGCTCTGTTTAACTTGTATGTAAACAAAAGTTTTAAGACTTTGGGAGTATATTTTAGTTAGCTAACTCTAACCAGCGTGTGCTGCTAGCCCAGTTTATTACAATGCCAGTTACCGAAGCAGCGCTACAGCATTAGCGTGGCGAATAAACACAAGCGCGTCGGTTGACTGCGCGCCCGCGGTGTAGAAGCGGAACCGGGATTAACTGCAGGACGTCAGGCACTTTAACATGTAGCCACGTTTACCAGTGAAAGGATAAGCGCGGCGTTGGAGCTGCTAGCACGCTAGGCTAACTAAGGGGCTAGCTAAGGCCGGCCCGGACACAAAGGCTTTTAAAAAAAAAAAAAAAAACAGCCATGTACTCACTGTTCGAGAGGTTTAGAAGCGCCGCGTCCGGCGTGGTCTTCGCCTCCAGCCGCAGGGGCTGCTGCTCGGAATGCCGCTGGATGTCTCCATTGGCGTCCCCGATAGAGAGGAGCCGCACGCCGGGAAACACGGACACCGCCATCTTCGAGCTCGCGCAGAGAGACAGCAGCTCGCAGCAGCGCGCGCCACATCCAACCGCGCGGAGAACACGGGCCTGACTCACTACTGCCCCCTAACGGCCACAGCGCGCCACTACTGCCCCCTAACGGCCACAGCGCACCACTACTGCCCCCTAACGGCCACAGCGCACCACTACTGCCC